TTTATGGAACCATTTAGACAAAAAGGTTCTTCTATGGCATCGTGAAGCACCTTTATTTTTAAGAGTGTATGCGTCTTTCAAAAAATTATGTATAAAGAATCGCCTGCTGAATCTCTGATGAAATTGTATCACACTTAAACCTGCTTCAAAAGGTTCTTCAAGCGATGCCATAGAAGAACCATTTTTGGTTCCACAAAGAACCATTCAGTCAAAGGTTCTTTAAAGAACCATCTCTTTCTTGCATTTTTGTAATCTGAAGAACCTTATTTCGCCACAAAGAACCTTTTGGGAAACAGAAAGGTTCTTCAGATGTTAAAGGTTCTTTATGGAACCATTTAGACAAAAAGGTTCTTCTATGGCATCGTGAAGCACCTTTATTTTTAAGAGTGTATGTGTCTTTCAAAAAATTATGTATAAAGAATCACCTGCTGAATCTCTGATGAAATTGTATCACACTTAAACCTTTAATGGCCTTCAACCAATTGTGCTTGCTTTGCTATTTCCAGGGCAGATCCTTTTTTTTTTTTATTTAGACCACTCAGATGTTAGATGGTCTGTTGAGAGACATGCATAGAGTCTGGCGAAGTCTTGGTGTAATATAACCAAATCCTTGAATAGTTCACCCACAGAGAGACTACACCTCTAAGCCTGTCGCTTGGGGAGCCTGAGGAAGTGATGGGTACTTTTAAGATTGTCTCTCAAGCTGAGGTATTGACTCCTCAGCAGGGAAGGAACGACCCGAGATTCAGAGATCAGATCAGTCAAACACACTTGGACTCTATTGGGAGGCTGAATGAAGATCAATGAGCAGCGTTCAGCAATGCGTCTTGCTCCTTTTCTTTTGATTCTTTTTCAAAAAGGAGATTGCTCAGCTGAGACTCTGGGTTTTTAAAAGCATACTCTATTGATTTTGCTCTCAAAATGATGACTTTTCTTTTTAAAACAGACTGTCATTGTGGTAAACCTCACAGGCTGTAGTGCTGATCATTTTGATGTTCATCTCTCCTGCTATTCAGCTGATCCCTGTGCATTGTAAGACTCCAAACCAAATGTCTTTACTCCCTCTATTACAGTGTTTCCCAACCAGTGTGTTTTTCACCCACAGCCCCATTATACACACACTACAGTCCATAGTTTTTGAAAGAAGTCACTTATGCTCACCAATGCTGCATTATTTGACCCAACATGCAGTTAAGAACAGGGATATTGTGAAATATTGTTAAAATATTGTTCAAGTTTCTATTTTAATATATAATAAAATGTCCATTACTGCAGTCACATAATCCTTCAGAAATCCTTCTAATATGCTGATTTAGTGTTCAAGCAACATTTCATACATCGATGTTGAAAACAATTGTGATGCTTGTATATGTATATATATGCATATATATGTATATGTTTGCATTATGGGACTAGGTTTTATGATCCCAATATTCAGCACCATTTAGCCGCACCATAGAACATTTTCCCTTCACTGTGAGCAGAACACAGCGAGACGCAGCAATTGTTACGCTCTGATTTTGGTTCAGCAAGAATCCAGGATCATGGCCTAATCCATGTCCGTGGTACTTGCCTCAATACCCAATAAACAGTTGTGTATATATATATATATATATGTATATGTATATGTATGTATGTATATATGCATATATGTATGTATATGTATATATACATATACAGTACATATACATATGCACCATTTCCATTTACGCAACTGGAATTTAAAACGGGTTAGTGTCTTCTGCTAGCTAAAAACTTAAACTGATAAATAACAGATTGGAGATTAAAATAATTACAGATTATGTTGTAATCTGTGAACACAGCCCTGTTTTTTTTTTCTTCATAGGTGTGTGTTGTAGGACAGTATGTGGTATATGTATCCATAGGGAATCACTGTCAATGTGTAGTTCAGCAGTTAAATGAAGACTGTGAGTTGACTGCATGTGATTATGATGAAAGATGCATATTAATTCAGTCCTCTAAGTAAAGTTCGGATGAAAGCAGCACTCTTTTTTTTTTTTTGTACCATATTTCATTTGTTTTTCCTACTGTGATAAACGGAAAGCAAGATAAGCAGAAGGGACGTGTGAAGAGTGTGTTGAGCGTGGAGAAATCATGAGGAGAGGAAGGAAAAAGGTGCAGCTTGCAAGGAAAACTCCTCGTGACCGGCATATCTCCCACTTTCAAACCCTTTTACACATTCACTAGTGTTTTTATCCTAGTTTTACCTTTCCCAGCACCATCCCAGAAAATTCTAGGTAGGAAAAGTCAGACAGGGGTAGGGAAGGAGAGGATGACAATGAAAGAATTGAGAAACCAGCATTTCCACACTTGCATTATTCACATTTTATCCACCTAAACACATGTACAAGTTTACTTGAGGCAGTTTTGCGGTGAGTTTTTTTAAATGCATATGTATTCAAAAGTATTTTATCCTACAAGTCTGCCTATGAATTAATCATAAAGCATGTGTTATGACAGGTCCTCTGCACAGTTTAATCCTCATAGTTTAAATATTTAAATTTGTTTAAACATTCAGTATAAACATGAAATATGAACTTTATGAGAGGTTGTGGAGAGTTTTAAGGATAAACTATTTTATGTAACTCCGTATTACTCAAAATATATCACTATATCCTGTGTTTCTAAGGCACAAGCAGCCTACATCTTAAAAAAAAAACATTTATCCACATCCTGTGTTGCAGAGGACACAGGTACATAGATGCAAATGCTTAACAATTATATGAATGATTATATATTAGCATTATTGTACTAAAACTTATATTAATTAATAGTAGTAGTAGTATTTTAATTATGTAATAATTGAATTAGTAATTCAATGTGTTATATTATATTACAGTATAATATATGCATTGTAAATCATTTTGTATAAAAGTGTCTGCCAAATGCATAAATGCATAATTACACGAGCTTCCACTTTGTAGCAGAATGAGCTGAAATAATGCAGATATTGTGTAATATATGCAGATAAATGAATGTTATTTAATAGAATATATTTAAATATTTTACAAAATATAATATCTAAAACTGCTATAAAATCACATATACAGTACGCAAGCTATGTTCCAAATTTGAAGTTAATATCATAAAAAATGAGCTTCCAGTGAGGTTTTGTTTAAAATAGCCACCAGGTGATATCTAAACTTCATTTAATTCCAGTCACAAATGTATACATTTATTTTACAATATTACTTAAATTACCTTCTGCCTACATTTCAAACAATATATGTTTTGTCAAGATTAGAAAGAGTTTTGATTATAAAATTGTAGATAAATTTGTAATATGATATTTGACACTGCCCACTAAGGGGAGGAGCTCATTGAATGTTTAAAGTACCAATTCCATGGTAAAGCAATGTCCAATTTCACAACCGTTTTCACAGGATGAATTTTGAGTGTTTAAGCTTTTGAATGATCTCTAATTTAGGGTGATTGCTAAAATATGTGATGAGGGGGGAACAAAAAACTATAAAAAGAGTGCCGAGCACAGTTAACAGGTTAAATTGTCCTGGCACAAAAGGGCCTTAAAGGGATAGTTTACCTTCAGTTTCTGGTTCCCTTTGACTTTCATACTGTTTTTTTTTTTTCGTCCATACTATGGAAGTCAATGGGGGTCAGCAACTGAAGGTGAACTATCCCTTTAAGAATGAAGGTTATGCATTAGAGTCTTAGATACACAAAGTTCTAGTATTAGAAATAATGCATGTAAAAATCAAA